TTGAGAAACGCTGGTCTACTGTATTCGGCGTATATATAGCGGAGCAAAAAAAAAATTATTTATAGAAATCAAATCATATTGTCATACATATATGTATAACATTTTCGTTTTTGTTCAATAATCGACTGCAACGGTATATCTCTAACAGTCTGATCGAAATACGAGTAGAACTATAAATATAAACTATAAATACGAGTCATCGCAGGGCATATTCTTTTTACACCCTACCCACCTTCACCCCTCCTGAAAACTTATTCATTATTTGGGCAATTTTAATGAAAATCGAGTTCCTACATGTATAGTATTTCAAATAATGACAGCATAACCGTTACGCTTATTGTCGTATGTACGTTTCAATGCATTTATTATTACGTGATTAATCATTTTATTTATTATTTTTTTTTTTTAACTTTTAGATGGATAGTAGGTTATGAAAAATTATAATAATTTTAATGGATTTTTACGGATCGATAACAAAAAAAGTTATTCACAATAAAAACATTTTATATTTGAGAAGTAAATATACTTTTATTATTTTAGCACGGACAGTCATGCGCAGTTTTTTTAACATTTTTATTACATTTTCATTTTTATTCGTTTGCGAAATGTCGAAAATGTATACTCGTCTAATTTCTTTTTAACGTTTATTATATTGTACGTATGCTGTAGTAAAACCCACTCATATATTGCTTCCAATTAGAATACAACGTTCAAACGAATGATAGTTATGTATATATCACGATCGGCTGCTCATCTTTTCGCATTACAAAGCGTATAGTGTGAGTTTGTATACATATTGACATAATGATTTACATTTTGTAATCTTCAACATTGTATTTGATATATTTATTCGTTGCGTACCACAGCAGCACCGTAGTTGTAAAATTAATTTGATTAAAGTTCTCAATAGTTGATGATTTTTTTGTAATTTTTTATACATTTATATACCGTGTCCGATTTCGAGATGAATACATCAAAATATGTCACACCGATCACTATATTGGTGAATATAATTGTAATTTTAATTTTTTCCAATTAGTCGCAATATTGATGCGTCACTGCACCTATACGACTGTAAAACTCTACAGCACGCAACAATAATGTACAACATTACAAATTATACAGATGAAGGGGGTTGTGGGATGGGGAATGTAAATTAATTAAATCGAACGCGTGCATACTACTTCTACTGATGAACAATAAAACTGTTAACACGAAAAAATAATAGTACGTTTTCAATCGAATCTTGTAGTCGCTCCTTACACGCGTGTATAATAACAATAGTGAAGAGAAATATTCATTTCGTAAGGCTGTAAAACGTTATGTTCCGGTGAAAAAAATAAAAAAAAATACATATACGACCGTTCGATACGGTTTATTGGTTGAAATAAAAACACTGTAATATACTCATATACACTTACCACCACTGCAAACCAGCAGACAGTATAATATCGTATACATTGTACATTATGCGTGTGTATATACACACTTGTTAGGGTATACATGCGATAAAAATATGCATTCCATCACTTTTAACCCCCGGGGTAACTTTAATCCGGCGTTAAGTGTAAATCAATATTCTACACCCTAGAGTTCAGAGCATCTATCCAAATTGTTCTTTTAAGTGTATTTTTTCGCGCACTAATTTTCTCCTCTTTTTCTGTAGATATTTATCTCACTTTATCAACACGAACAACTCGAGAGGTCCATCAACTAGGTACAACCGTGCTATAATTAAATAATAATTTAAAAAAAAAAAAAAAAAGTGTAACCGAATCAAAAATAATTTTTCATTACCAGAAAATCACAAAATATTTTGTAACCTACCCCAAAACGTTCTTAGGACGTCTTTCTAGCTTGAAATTTGGGAAATGTCTACCCTACGTTTCATGTACATCGCAACGTTGACGATTATCAAAATTACCGTAGGAATAATATTTATTTATATGTTATGTACCTACGTTTATAATCATTTTTTGATACGTCTACATTAGTTTTCCTTCGGCTGTATGACGTATATTACCACTAAAGTTGTCACTCGACATGAAATTTTCATTACGTTTAATTGACGTACAAAATAAATAAATATCATTTCAATGGCATTCGGTGTGTTAAATGAATGCAACACGTCCGAGTTTTATTTTTTTATGTCGATTTTTCTTACTTTTATTTTTTTTTTCGCCAACGGTAAAACTAACTTTTCGCAAACAAATATTGACATTTCGTGCGTGACCGAATCCATAAACTCCGGAAGGAAATACCATCAACTATCAACCACGAGTCCATTGCTATTTTTCTGTCCTTTTTTATTTACCCGTATGTGCACTCATATACTTGATACCTATCTATTCACAGCTTTCCAGTTAATATGATTCGGATACCTATTGAAAACGCATTATCCTAAATCCGACGTGCAACAGAATATAAAAGACTTATAATCATCTTTATTGATCTTGCAAAAAGAACTGTATAGCTATACATACCTACATAGATTTTATTATAGCTACAGCCACACATACCACTGATGAAAGTATACGATTTTTAAAATCTACTTTCCTCAAAAATTAATTTTTAATTTTCCGTTGTACAGTTAGTATACTTTTATAGGTCCATGTGCATAACAATTGATATCTGAGCATTTTGGAAGCCTATTTAGTATTGATTTTTTGTTTATCAACTCGAAAAATATATGTAGTAATTTTAAATGTAGGTAATACATACTCGTTTTATAATCAAACAAATCAAATTACGTCTTTTTGAAAAAATATTTATTAGGTAAACAAATGTTCATTTAGCTCGAACATTAACACAGATAATATTCACAATCCAGAGACCATAATAATCAAAATTGTCAAGATTTTTGTAATAATGTCAGTAGTCTAAAATATAATACAACATAATTACCTGAATTATTACCCAGTATAACCTGAGAAATGTTTTACTATTTTAAATCAAAACAATTACTATTTCTATGTAAAAAAAATATTAGATTAAAGAAAAATGCAAAATCGTCGTATATGTCATCGGTATATTTATTTTTTGTCTTTATATCTATACATAGTTTACTTATACGCCTCTAAATCCATAATTATTAATATAAACAAATTAAACATAATAGGATTTTTCTTAGGTAATCGAAAATTGAAAAAATTATACGTCTATCCCGGGGCCTAAAACGCGGCAACGTGGCAAAATCAATAAATAAATTATAATTAGTACATTCTCTCAAAATTTCAAATTAATTGGTATGATAGTTTTGACTATAGGTACACTGATCAGTCACGGAGTGAGAGTTATTGGAATTGTATTTAGATACATAGATTATGTTTTATATCAAGGGTGCCCAATTTATTTTGGAAGCGGGCTATAATTGCAATGGCTGCATCCGAATTGGTTCCCATACCTAAAAATTGACATCTTTATTATAAATCTATATTATAATTCCCATCTTTATAAGTACCAAGGTGGATTGATAAGTACGAATTTCGGAATGGATAAGATGAAATAAATTATCATTTAGATAAAAACCGTGATAAAACAGGCATTATATTATCGATATTGACGGATATCTAGTCGTACTTATAAGTCAGTACGGCATTCAGTAATCCGCCGTAATAACCGCAAAGTGTTTGTATAAGTGATTGTATTTGTATTTTAATATTTTCGAATATGGAATTTATGTACAGTGAAAAAAATAAAAAACTTATTGTATTGTTTGTTATAAATTTTTACCTCAATAATACAAAAAATGATAAGAATAATACTTAAAAATAAATTGACGAATTAATATTATGTTTATTCTATTATTATAAGAATATAATTATACAAATTAAAGTAAAAAAAAATCAATGTTATATATACATACAGTTCTAAGTCTGTATAAAATGGGAAGGAAAAAAGAAAATATTTTGACCCGGGAACCAACTCGGATATACCCTTCGTATCAATCCGGGAACCAATTCGGACACTCTGATTGCAATTACATTTAGCTGGTGGGCCATGTTATGAACAAAACTTTCTTACACTTATAATTTATCCAAAATTCTATTTTCAATAGATACTTAATTAGATAGGAAAAATAGGTATTTAAATTAAACAACATTTTAAATTTCACATGTTTTAATTTTTAATAATATTTAAAAAAAACATCAATGAGACCTTTGAAGAGACTTATTAGCTAATAATTTTTCAATATCTGGTGATAAATCTGATGTTGATAACAACATCAAGTTGTTGGCGGGCAAATCCAAAAGCGTTGACGGGCCACCTCGTGGCCCGCGAGCCTAAATTTGGGCACCCTTGTTTTATATTCTAGGACAGCCAGTCATGCAAATACCACTAGTATTAAGCAGCGAACCCACCAAGAATCTGTATAGATAAATTTTTACTGTACTAGATCAAATTGAAAATTTAACGTGGTATGTAAACTGTACCATTGAAGATTTTTCGGTAGTTTCCTTGAGCTATAAAAAAAAAAAAAAACTAAATTGCATTTTTCGCAAATATATTTAATTTACACAAGCGGACTTTAACGCTTATGATCAATCCGGTGCAAAACTTACCTTTGGACTAATCGCATACATTTAAGCGCAACAATATAAATCTAATGAATTGTACGACAAATAAAAAACGTATGAAAAAATCACATTTCTTTTAAATAGGTACATTAGATGATATGACATTAGCGTATTCATCAAAAAAAATTTAAATATTTGTTTACACTAAACGACCTATTAAACTCCTGTGTGCTACTAGACAATATTATTCTTCAATCAGCCTTTGATTGGATTGGTTATATCATTATCATTTACAGTGCGTATACATCGGGAACGATTTTTGTTTGATAATAAAATATTTTAAGAACCTTAAAGTGACGTGCGTCGCACCGCAATAAGTGTATACCGATCGGTGTTGGCCGTTGACCGATTTTAGATTACATTGATCCAACACGATCGCCATCAATTAATACTAATGTGAATGCATTTTTGTCGTTTCCACAGCGCTGCTGTCATACGCGCCGATGTCTTCGGATTTCACGGGTCCGTCTTTCCTGCTGGAACCACCGGGCAAGTACGAGTTCTCCAACACGACGGGCGCGTGGATCGACTGCACCGCGGCTGGAAATCCGGCGCCGCACATCCGGTGGCTAACGGCTGACGGAACGCCCGTGTCAGACGTACCGTCCCTGCGGCAGGACATGTCCAACGGCACGCTAGCCCTGCTGCCCTTCACGCCGGCCATGTACAGGCAGGACGTGCACAGCGCGGTATATCGGTGCCTGGCCACCAACGACGTCGGAGCGATCGTCAGCCGCGACGTGCACGTCAGAGCTGGTGAGTGTACACGGAACACTAACACGTTCACGGAACGTTGCTTTCCAATATTGACTTTCTTGGTCCGCAGCCGTTGGGTGTCCGGAATTGCGTTACATGCTATTGAAAGAAATTCCTAGCTACTACTATTCCACCACGTGCGGTGTTTCTATAAAATAAACATTAAACGGTGCGAAAAAAATAAAAATAAATGTATCAACCTTAAAAGACGAAACGAGGTCGATTTCCTTTTAAAACCGATCCCGTATTCTATCTTATGTGTGGATGCGCATAATTACACACGATTTGTTCGTGCAAATCCGTTTGGCGTCGTGTAGTAAAGAACGATTGAAAATTAAAATATTAAGTACAATGTATATTTAATCGAAGTGTATTGTTCCATGTACTATCCTTGTATGTATAAAAGAACAAGCCTTTTTTATATTCCAATTTTATGACGACATTATTTAACATTTTTCTAATTTTTTTTTTCACAGAGTTATTCCAAATACCTTTCTGAGTGTCGTCACGTCGCTCGATTTTTAATTTTTTTGTCGGAGAAAAGGGAGAGAGGTTTTTGGAAAAATGTTAAATAATGTCGACACAAAATCGGAATATAATAATGCAATCCTCCTCTCCCTACCATAATATAAAAAAAAATGAAAAATAAGGTGACGTAGTGACACTCAGGATAGTATTTAGGACAATTCTGCGAAAATAGTTATATTTAAATAGTGTCATCACAAATTGAACAAAAAAACGTTCTTTTATATATATTGGATTATAGAATCATTTTCAATAATATGTTTATCATTAGTAAATATTATTATTATAATTTTTTTTTTTTTTTATTAGGTAATTTTAATTCAGCTTCAACTACTATTTAGTTGTATATGTAGACTTACTGTGTTTTTTTATGGTTATTATAATAACTGTAAACATAATTTCTATCAACTGACTATTGAAATGGCAACGGTATGCCACAATGTATTGGACATTAGAATATTCTGATATGGCGGTAAGATTTGAATTAGAATAACTATTTTGCTTGAATACGTTCAATATTCATAAGGTAAAGTCAGTTATTATATTTAACTCGTCACGCAGTGTTAATATACAAATTACAGATTTGCGGATTGCAGAAGTTCATCTATATGTATTATCCGCATCATATATTTATACGTTTCGATTAGCCTGCATGTAGGACATGGATTTATGCAATCATCAATAAAGTATAAACTTTAGGGAAAATTAGATTTGCTACGGTCGACATTAGCCGTAATTTTATCCGCGGCATTTTAATTTATATAATTATAGTTCGATTCACAGAACGCGTACGGCATATTATTACACCGTCCCAAAGAAACCGTTTCGCATGTGTTCGTAAAGTAACATTATTTGTTTAACGAATGCAATTAATTGTTTGTTTATTACTTCGAGCGCTAAACATTCGAAATACCCATTCGATTTTCAAACATTGAGGTATCCATGGTGTTCTGAAATGTAAAAACCGTTAATGGCCCGGGTACAGGGATTTCGATGCTTTCATGGTAAACAAAGAAAGTTTTTAATTCAAAATTCTCAATCTGTGAAATAAATATACGCGGTCGTGAACGCAATATTGATATGCACGATATCTGCGAGAGCTGCGTGTTTTGAAGTATAAAATGATAAAAGGTTTTCAACTAGGGATTTTTTTTTTTTCTTTCGTTTGCTTTATTTACTGTCTGCAATATATTATTATGAGCAAATTTGATAAAAATAAAGAATAAAAACGGTTCGACGTGGATACCCCACGCGTTCGATTATGGAAAAAATGAATCATGCTCGTACACATAAGTATTATTTATACATTGTGTTTTCTGGTATCCCGTCAAATTTGAACGTTTTTAAAACAACTTTTTATCCCGAATTCCTACGAGTATAAATAGGCGATAATGAAACTAGTTTTTGGGATATTTAAATGAAAAAAAGCTTTGGGTCCGTTGAATAGGCTTCTTCTTATTTCGTTACTACATTATATAACATATACGGTGCTGATCACGTCGTGTCTGGTGTCATACAACATGATAACACGTCATTTGGATACCCGATCCCTGCAAAGCATGCCGTTCGGTAGACGGAATTCGTAAAGCTGCACTTTTAAAATAATATTATTTATCGTAGACGCGGAGACACCCGGACACGGAAATCTACCCAATCTATAGATTGTATGACTGAACGAGCTACAGCTATCCATCAAATTAATATAGCTTTGAAACGTTTTTTTTTTTTTATCTCGGTACACATTGATTGAAATATAGAATCATAACAAACCAAATGCAACTATTTTTCTTCGCGTAAAACAATAAATTATACAGATAGAATTTATTTCACCGATTTTTAATCATTATTATTCTCTGGAATATTGTTTAGTAGTAATAAATAAATAATAAAAACAAAAATTGAATGATTCAACGTATATTTTGTATTTTTGTTTTCATTAGCGTCTTTGTATAAATTATTATTCAAACTAAAACCGACATGAAGCAATACAAATTATTGACAATGAGAGTTAATTTCACATTTAATTTAAATTCAATACGTCTCAATAGATGTCAATGATTGAGTAAAGTATATGTTATTGAATTATCAGATTCGACGGCACGTTATTTCATATTTGTAAATTTTGGAACTAAATTATATAGGTTTATGCACCGTACTTTTCGAAATAAATTTATGTATTTTCTTATAGAACTTCTGATTCGCCGTTAGATGCTTTTTTCCCCAAATATTTATCTCTGAAATTCAATTTATGTATTTGTATATGAATAAATGTACTTCAAAATATTAAGAATTTTAGTTAGATTTTGTTATGAAATATGATAGGTAAAAAATAAAATACGATGTTCGACTGACACACTAGAAATATAATAACCCTTAACGCTTTAAATACCTGATGCCTATTTTTACGGGCTTCCGTGCACTACTTACACATTATATTTTTTTATAACAATAAATTTCCACTATTTTTAATAAAAATTAACGTTAAAATTATTTCGTTTTAGATGTTATTAATTTCAAATTTTATATATGAAATAATGGTGAATTTATATTGAATGATACTTTTAAATCAACTTAACTATAAAATAAAATCAATCATGAAAATGAATAAATGAATACGCAATCATTAATAATGAAAAAAATCAAGTTGTTTCATCTAGACTAATTTACCCACGATAGCATAATATGAAATTAAATTTAAATAGCAAAAATTCAATAATTCGTTTTTAAAACTTGTATGTTTATCATATTAGTACCGTTTTTTGTTTTAATATTTGTAAACTATTTTGAGAATAAATTAACTCTAACTCCATTACTGATGTTTAAAGTAATGCCTTTATTAATTTATTATTAAAATAATACTATTGAGCTTATACTTAAATTGTAATTAGTTTATCATATTAACTAATATTTTTAATAATACTGTTTTCGATGTACGGTTTTAGTTGTGGCTCAAGATTTCAACCTCGAAGTTCGAGTGGTAAATGGAGGATCAGCTAAAGGATGCACGGCTGTTTTGGAATGCGTCACACCAACGTTCATGAAAGACTTAGTCAAAGTCGTATCTTGGCTTCAAGAACCAGGATTCTATATATATCCGTCTTTACAAGGAGGTTTGTAATTGTATTTATACGTTTTAATAATAGGTACTTGACATACGAAATAACGTAATTGATATAATCAAATTATAACTGATAACATTTATAAATCTTGATATTCCAGTTGAATTATACTATGAAGCATATAAAAAATATCGCAGACAACAATATAATTTTAACAATTAATACTACTGATAAATTAACTGCCCAAGACTCTAGTTGATCAGGATATTAATTTGATATTTACTATAATTTACAGTATAAATATTTTGTTTAGATTATTGTTTTGAATTACTCAGTCATGGTCTCATTTAACACGATTTATCAAAAATTATATCACAAAGTACAAATGCATAATTTCGAGAAAAGATACTGTATAGCACGATATATTAGACACGAATAATGTTATTATTTGCTTACATAAATGTGTTAACTATTATTCCACGTGTCGGAATACATAAATATTACAATCGCGTTTTTTATTTTCAACAATGTAGACGATCAAAAATCGATTGTTATTATTATAACTAAGAATTTGAAGAACAATATTACTATTTATTATTCACCATTGCGATTATTGTATACGGATATCTCACGGTTGTTCACCAGCCAAAGTGGTGAAGATTTTTTTTGATCGTCGAGCCGTTAAACAATTAATTCAAATGTAATTGATCAAAAATTTCCATGATTAGGATACGGGCAATAATAATGCAGGCCTCATTAAATTGTACAGCTGCTAGACAATATTGTATATCGTTATGTCCAAAACCCCATTGTTAACGTACGCTACTCTTATTCGGACAACATAAATCACCGTACTGAGACTACACAATAATATTGGGTAAAATATAATATTTTCATCAAAAATAACTCTCTCTACGTCCAAATCCATAGTGATTAAAATCAATTTCACACAAAAATTTTATGTTCAATAAAATATAATAGTTGATATTATTCTACTAATTATTTTAGCATGTGTTCAAAATGTATTTTAATAACAATCATTTGAACGGTGTTAAAATAAATGTATGTATACCACTACCACGAACAGTGATGATAATAATTATCTGTGTAAGTAATCCGTTATGATCAGTGTTTATTTACCACACATACAATGTCTTAAATATACAGCTAGCTGTATGTTTTAATATTTGTGTAGGTTTCAGTTCGTTGACTTAAGCATATGCTATGTATATATGCTTATGTGATATGTTAAAATAATTACTAAACCGATTTAATATTACGATGGAGAGTAAAATAATAACAGTTCTAAACACTCTATGTGACTTGAAAAATCGATAATATAATTACATATTACTATAATATTATGATGAAAAGTATATTTTATGAGATCCTAGTTAGGATAAAAAATAATATAAGTTATAGTTATAGTTATAGTTATATTAAGTTATAGTTTCTTCAATGCAATGATAAAAAATGTAAATAAAAATAAAAATGTATTTAATACTCCTCGAAAATATTATCTTATTTCAACCTACAATGACGTATTTGGTTGGTGTGGCAGTGTAGGGAAAGAAGTGTAGTAATTTTACTTTCTTAGCATTGTTTTAGTTATTAGAAAATTACCTCAAAACTTATGAAATAAATGTGAATTACATGATACATGATAGGATTTTTGCCACTTAAAATGGTTTAGTTCATTGCATTATTAAATCATTAATAATATTTTCAAAACCTACAACATTTTGAAAATTATTACTTTAACCTATGTCTATATGATCCCTAATTGTAATCCAACTTCTTATCTTAGCGAAGCTTCAGACCTACTACATCAATTCTTACCAAACTAAATTACCGAACGCGATTAGTGCTGGTTATGATATAGTAATAACACAATTAGTTATGAAAATTAAAGTAGATCACTCGTATAAATTGATACATCAGATGTAAATCAAAAATAGTAACACGTGTTGCGCACAGTAATACATATAATATTATGTTCACATGCATAAATTACATCATATTTTTACTTCGTATTGCAGATGGTAAATACCACGCAATGCACACAGGTGAGCTGTTGGTGCACAATCTGGAGTCTAGCGATCAATTCTCGTCGTACACGTGCCAAATGATGCACACCTTGACCAGAAAAGTGACAACCAGCTCGCCGGCCAACATAGTCGTACACGGTAAGATTAAATGATGACGACGGGGGTGGTGTAAATCGAGTAAATATACACTAGGGTCAGGTGAACAAGTTTTAATGGAAGCAAGGGTGTAAAAAAAAAAAAATGGGACTTGATGGGAAACATGCCCATCGGCGATGGTGGCGAGACGTGAACTTCGTTCGCAGTAATTATTATTAGTACGTGACCCGAAAACCAAAATAATAACATTGTAACCCTTTTCTGGAAAATATACAAACCTGGTAGGTTAGTAACCATGGTGACCGATTGCGGGCAGAACTCTAGATTACACGAATGGATGGACATACAAAAGCACCGGCGTCCTGACACTAACCGCCGCACAACGCTGTCGACCAGATAATGGGAAAGATGTTACACGACTATAATATATATTATATATATACGAGTATATATATTTACACGAGTGCGGTATATGGTAACACGACCATACTTACAGGCTGCTGTACAACAGTGATACGGTCGCGCGTTCCATGTTCTGTAGACCATATTACAACATGTTACTATCGAGCATTTACACCATCGTATTACACACGCTGTGTAATATACACACAGTGACGGTGCTAGAGTTTGTGAGGCCCTGGGCAAAATATATGTTGAGTCTTATAATTTCTATTAATAAAATATTTAAGTTCAGTTAAATCAGAACCGCGGGGCCTTAATTATAATTTGAGGCGGGGGACCCAGGGCAACTACCCCTATTTCCCTCCACTCGCGCCGTTCCTGTATACAGATTATACTCTGAACCGGCTGCATTCTACTTGTATATTGCGGGTACGATAACGATAATGACGCAACGTATACACTACACAATACAATCTTGTTGTGTTACGTTAAAACAATAATATTACATGGCGTTTTGTACTCAACGTTTCAGAAGCCGCGGGGAACGAGATGGTCGAAATCGTCGCGCACAAGAATTCGGTGCGAGTTGCCCAGGACGAAGGTGCCGTGCTCACTTGCATCACTATCGGATGTCCGCACCCTCATTTCAGGTATGAGTATTACGTAGGTTTGGGTTGGCGGACGCGCTCTTTAGACGAGTTTGCGGACGAGTTGCAGAGGGTCAACCAGACGAGCGCTTATGGATCATGATGATGCCATGCATTTTGAGAACCGGATGGATTCCAACAGAGTCACGGCGACGCCGAAGGGATGGGTTTCGTCCGAGGGTGGTATTCGGTGAAAATTATGTTTACAAATTTCGCCACGGGGGGCAGTCGTTCAGTAGTAGTGGTAGTAATGTATGATAGACGCGCGATATACGATAGAAATACGAATCACTGCGTATGTGACCCGGTGGAGTGTATGATATTGATTATTTAGTCAAGATTTTGTTTTGACAACAGGTGGTATCACGTGCTGGACGATAACGAGCCGACGCTGCTGGAAACCGGTTCGGGGACCAGGGTACTTGGCCAAGTTCTGTCCATCGAGGCGGTTAGACCCGAAGACTCGGGTACCTACCGGTGCTCGGCCAGTAACGACGCGGGTCAGACGAGCGCGGACATCAAGCTGGACGTGGTCGTGCCGCTCCGAGTGCAGGTAAAAGGGATGAGGACAATTAGTCTAGAGTTGTCCGGAGTACATTTTTAATGTAATGCACGCGATAATTCTGATACGATGTGTGATAATACGATTATCAGATAAAGCGCGTTCTACTGTATTGTCGCGACGACTATCGATCCCGGAAACACGAGAAAAACGAATTCGCGTTGTCGGAATACATAATTCAAAAAAACCCGTGCAGTTCCAACTTCAGCCTAAGGGCTCTTGGAGCACTTGCCCAAGGCCCTCATCTGGCCGGGGGCCACGAATAATAGAAATTACAAATTTTAATTTTAATCTCTAACATATAATACAACTGCCTATAAAAATAAAAAAAATTCTTAATAACAGAAAAAAAAAATTTGATAAACAGTAAGTTCAAATAAACGATGAACGCTTAATTGTATGCCATTGCATTAGGTAAATGTTATTTTTCATCCCATTATTTCAAAAGATTTTTCGTTAAAATTAATAACTCACATCTTTCGGCTGCACAAAAGTCATCATACAAAATAAGCTTTTGATGTTTTTACTCGCCTTTTTTTGGCTTACTAAAAAAATCCCGAAGCTCAAGGTGCCCATGGGCATCTGCATAGCCTAAGACCCGTGATTGTTTGGGGTATCGTGTGGTTTCACTATACTTGGTACGTCGTCGTGGTAGGAAATGCGGTACAATATGTAGACGGTTTACGGTACACGGTTATCCCGTTGTCACAGGCGATTATTACCCCCTATATTATTACCGGGGAGGGGGGTAATAATCGCCTGAGGTAATAATCGCCTACAGTAACAGGCGATTATTACCCCCCTAACATTTTTACCGGGGGGTAATAATCGCCTGAGGTAATAATCGCCTACAGTAACAGGC